ACTCGAAAGGAACTAGGAATTTCAGAGCAAGGAGCCAACCGCTCGAAAGAGACTAGAGAAATTGTAAACAAGGAGCGAGCCACTCGAATGAGACTAGAGAGCCCGCGAAGGCGGAAGCCCGAGGCCGGGAAAGGCGTGACAGTGATCGAACCTTGCGATTTCCGGCGATAGCGGCGCGTCTGGATGAAGCCTTGTCAGGAAGTGAACAGAGCCTTGTGTGGCCTGTCAAGGTGCTTTATGCCTTCCTGTAAGCTTCCGTTGTTCCTTTTGCTTCAGGGGCCACTTGAAGCCCCCCACAGGGCCCAATAAAATAAGGGAGAGCGTTCCTTAAGACCTCTACGTGGCAAGGGGTGCACAAGGCGACCTTTTAAAGCACGTCGTTGGGTTGGGAGGGCGGTTATGCCAACACCTCGGGCTCGAGGAATCTGGATCCGGGCTGCGCAGGTGCCAGCGAAACCCTTGTCCGCTGAGGGGAGGGATTTCTTTTGGTCATGGCCACGCGGCACGGTAAAAGAAAAACCCGTGCATGGGAGAGAAGGCTGTTTTGTGACCCTACTTACGGTGGTGGAGATACAAATAAACCCCTGGACAGGGTGGAGGGCTTTCTTTGAACTCTGGTCCATGCGTGCTCGAGAAGCTGTGGAGCGCCGGACCGACCCAGGGCAGAGAAAGAGCCTTTCCGACAGTACCGAAAAAACCCTACAGGTGCCAAATAAAACAGCCCAATGCTCATGAATTACTCTAGCTCTTGGTGGCTGCCATGGGCTTATAGGGTTCAGAACTGAGACCGTGCACTTCGTGGTGATCTGCATCAGACCAGAGACCGAGCGGCCGTATGCAAAAATTGAAGCACCCTGAAACCGAAGCCATAACCCTCCCTAAACCCTAAACCCTAAACACCCTAAAGTCTAAACCGCCTAAACCTAAAACCGAACCTAATTCCTGAACCCTAAAACTCTGAACCCTAAACCCGATCCCTGCCTGGCTCAAAAGCTCCTCCACTGCTAGGACCTTGTGTCTGCGTGTCCAGGCCGCTAAGGGTTTGAGGGTTTAGAAGGGTTGCAAGGGCTTTGGGCTTAGGTTAGGTTACAGGGTTTAGGGTTTAGGGTTTAGGTTAGGTTACAATTTCCTGTTCTTAAAGGGGGGGACCACTGCAAGAGATGGTGCAGCAGAGGGAACAGCAACTTCCGTTGTGCTGCTGTTTGTCGATAATATGATAGGATGATGGTGTGATGGTACAGGGGATGATCATAAGGAAGAGGAGGAAGATGATCGTGGTGGTAATCTTGATAGTCCTTCTCAACTTGCTGATAGCATTGATTTCACTAAGCTGCACAAGTGTTGTTTCACATGCTCTTTTTGCTCGTGCTCGCCAACTTTTGACAACCCGCTCAGGCATTGTCACGATTCCATCCAGCACACATATCACTAATCGTGCCACCACCACCGCCGCCAGCGACAGCAGACCACGGCCAGGAAAAAAAATGCGCCATCATACTCACTCATCATCCCCAGTATCACAATTATCACGATCATCAGAATGCTCCCCACCATTCTTGCTGGCCATGCCGTCCCCCGTCAGCTCTATCTGCTCACTGTAAACATTCAAGAAGCATAAACTCGAATCACGAGGTCGGCACGTGGATCTGGAACAGATTCCGCTGTGCCGGGTCGGGAATCTCGACCTTCGAAAGCTTCGGGGTGGTGTTCAGGGGAGTTTTTCGAGTTTGTGGGTTGAGGGCTTGCTGTATTGATCTTTTCTATGGGATGTTATTTCATTGCTCATAGGTTTTTGTAGTTTTCTATATGGCCTTTACAGCATTTATCGTACAATTGTATGGGGACAGACCCTCCTCCCCGAAAAGCTTGGGGGGCTTTCTCAAGTCTTTTTCTGCGATTGACCCTAAACCCTTGGGGTTTTGCCGGGTCTTTGGGCAAACAGGGCTTCACCCTTCAGCCCTACTTCAGAACCCTCGAATGCTGCGCATGACAGCCCTTGAGCCCTACATGACCAAGCCTAAACCCTGAATCCCTAAATCTCTGACCCCCCAAAACCTGAAACCCGTAAATAAGGACTTTGGATCTCCCTGCATGGCCTCGACACCCAAGCGCTTCTCTGCCGACTGAAAAAGCTGCAAGACCTCGACAGCGTCGGGAAGAAGGTGCATTCAACAGGGTTGTTCTAACGACTGCGTAAGGATTGTTGCGCTTTGCTGGCATTCAGGGTTCAGGGATTTAGCCGTTCTAGGGCTTAGGGTTTATGGGATGCTCCGACACACCCGAAATCCGAAGAGAACGCCTGAGAACGACTCCGCGAGAAGGGCTCAGCCCAAAAGAACCCTCAAGCAACAAGACAAAACAACACCCTAAACCCCTAAACCCCTTAAACCTCCCAAACCCTAAACCCCTAAACCCCCCAAACCCCCCCTAACCCTAAACCCTACACCCAAAATCCTGAAACTTGGCACAGTTTTCTGGTTCAAAGTTTAAATCCGAAGAGCTTGGGTTGCTGAAAGCCTTCAGGCTCCGAAACCCCAGCTCCGGGGGCTCTAGGCTTCCTTCTGAGTTTTAGGGTTTAGGCTTCAGGAGCTTTGGGTTTAGGAGTTTAGGGTTTAGGTTTTAGGAGATTAGGGTTTATAGGGCTTAAGGTTTAGGGTTTAGGGTTTAGGGTTTCGAGGTTAGGGGTGCAGGGATTTAGGTTTCAATAAGGTGCGCTGTGCACAGATTCAAGCTTTGAATCCCAGGCCTCCTATGCGATGCCGGGGTTTAAAGCTTAAGGTCTTATGCCCCAGGCCAAATTCCAAATCCGATACCCTAAACCCTTCTGACTCGAACCTCGAACCCCAAATCCGTGCATAAACCCTGTAAAACCATTGCAAAGTCAGATTAAACCACCGTCTAGAGCCCTGCGAACAGCCCTGGCTTACTCTTGTATGCAACCCTTCAGAACCCTTACTTACGTAATCTCCCTCCTTCTCAAAACCCTAAACCCTACACCCCTAAATGCCCGAAACCTAGGCCCTAAAACCCAAAACCCCAGACCCTTAAACCCCCAAACCCTAAACCCCCAAACCCTAAACCCCTAAGCCCTAAACCCCTAAACCCTAAACCCTAAGCCCTAAGCCCAAAAACCCAAAAACCCAAAACCCTAGACCCTTAAACCCCAAACCCGAGTTGCGCCGCTCCTTGGGGCTCCGGGCCGCTGCAGAGGAGGCGTCGCGGGTCTTCCGGGCCACGATCTCCAGCTCGAGCAGGGCATCCTCAGGGCTGCGGCGTCTGCGAGTTTGATGTAGGGGCCTTAATGATTAGAATAGGGCTTTGGGGAATATTATACAATAATTAGAACAAGGAACACCCAAAATAGTATAGGTAATCATTATAAGGCCCCTCTCTTATGTTACTTCTTCTTGTGGCGTGGGGGGGTGTGGGGGGGAGGAGGGGGGGGGCCAGGTCACGGGTTAGCAATCTTTGTCGATCTCTGTTGAAAGATGTGGAGTTTATTGTTTAGGGTTAGGGTTCCTGGATTTCTAAAGTTCTGGCACGGTGCGATCGGGATTACATATTCGGCTATACAGGGCTTTAAAGGCCAAACAGTTTCCACAAGGGACAAGCGCAGGTGTATGCTACTGTGTCCTGGTGCAGAAACCTACTTCAAATTCGTCACCATAGCAGCGACTTGCAGTGCATTTATGAGATGCTGTCGCTCTCATTTTAACAACAGTTGAATTCCTGAAACCCTACAGAAGCCCTATTAAAATCTTATGAACCCATTTCAATTCCTTGGTAGGATATATTACGCTGCTTCCCAGGAGCCCTGCACTGGTGCTCTAAGACCTACCGGAGGCGGGAGCCTGAACTGGGCTTGTAAGGGTTATTCATTTAGGGCTTAGAGTTTAGGGTGAACCCTAAAAGGGTTGAAGGTTCATATACCATATAGGAATTCATAGTATCAGGGTAGAGGGCCCGTACTTCTAAGGATCAAGTGGTCCCCAAGGTGTGGGTTTAGGGTTTTAGCGCCGGGGGAGCTAAAAGTTTAGGGTTTCGGGCTTAGGGGATGAGTGCTTCTGACTCTGTTGTCCGGGGAGTAGGGTTTAGGGTTTAGGGCTGAGTCCTAAACCCTAACTCCTAAGTCAGAATAATTAGAATCTGTGCACTCTAGGGAATGTTCCCAAGTGTCCTCGGCAAGCTAGCTTAAACAACCAGAACCTTGCACCACAACGAAAAACTCATCTGCAAACCCAGTAACCAAAGGAAGCAAGCCGTCTTTCCCATGAGTCCTTCAGAGCCAGGCGTGAGAGTTTGACAATGGGGGCCGCAGCACCGTTCCGATCGCCTCATTTCTGCGGCCGGAGCTGATGCAAGATGCAGAGCATTGGCACCCAATCTAACACCACGCACTGCTGCACAGGAGGGAGTCATAGCTGAAAGTTTCGCGCCGGCCTGCTTCAGCGGCGGCGGCGTCGGCAGGCATCGCACAGGCACGGAAAAGCGTGCTAGAGACAGGAATCTGACTTCAAGTAGATTGAGTCAGAGGTTCTCGAGTAGAGCTAACGTAGTCGGGATTCAGCTGGCTTTGTGACGAGCGCTGCGTGTTTTGGCGCAACTCCAAATATTACGAGAACTACAGCACTCCATGCCCCGCACCGTATCAAGACACCAAACATCGCTATGAACAAGACAGGGTCGTGAGCACGAACAGAAGAAGCAACAGCTCTTGAGATGGTAAAGAAACCCTAAGCCCTAAACCCTAAACCCGAAGCCCTGGCCTCCAAGTTCCCGAAACTAGATGCATCGGGGCTAAATTCGCTGACTAAGAATCGGGCTTGGATTCTATACAACAGACTGTAGTCATCTAAACCATGCTAAGAGACCTTGTGTAGTTTAAGGAATATGCTTGAATATTCTTGACTGGTAAGTAGGAGTCTCTGAACACATGACACGTGGAGGCCGCATAGCGTTTAGAAGCTGCGAATGCACGACAGAAAGGTTGGTAACTCCAAGACATACCGTGTTGCAGTGCTGCACCGAATATTTTTACAAGATTTTGCGCCGGCGTGAGCTGAAGCTCGCACGACTACTCATTGCAGGCGGCGCGGCCAACGCCTCTGGCGTCCAACTAGGAAAAAACGTCATTTCTGGTTCCTACACTGCTGGACCCAGGATCAGAAGGGGCACAGTGTAACGCAGGGACCTTATCAAATATAACAGGTTGTGGCGTATATCTGACTGATCATGAAATGTTACAAGGATTACAAGGGGATCCGAACCAACCTGGCCCGTCTCGTTGATGTTCTGAGCACTGCCGAGGCTCGGGGAGAGTGTTCTGTCGCCAGCAAGACTTTCATAATCGTCACCGCACTCGGAAACATCCTCGCTATCACCATCACCATCACCTCGCCATCGCCATCACCATCACAATTGTCATTGTCACGACCAACATATTCTACTTGTTCTGCTTCTTCACATTCATCCTACTTTCATCCTCGTCCCCAGCGACATCCTTACCATCATCTTCACCACCATCGTCATCAGCGAATGCAGTCTCTTCTTGTTGCCTGCATGCGCACCCTGATGAAGGAAGCTTAAGCATAGGGTCGACACCTAACGAGAACAACGGGTCATGCGGGAACCGCATGAACCCTGATGTTAAGAATAACCCCACCCATCTTCAGAAGCCTCGTGCGAAACAACAGCTTCTTATAGCTTGTAATCTTGCCTTGTAGGCCGTCTCTCTGAACATACCTCAGGCAAGTCAAGAAAGCTCAAATTAAACCGGTAGGCGAATTTAGGTGTTTAGCGGTTCGGGGGGTTCAGGGGTCTAGGGGCTTAGGATTTAGGATTTAGGAGTTTCGGCTTTATAGGGTCTATTTGTCCTAACTGTAACCTCGGAAACCAAAAAGCGAACTGCCTCGCGAGAGCCACCTGCTGATTTGCATCAAAACTGACGGGGATGGAATCTTCCAAGTATCACGTCATCGCCAGCAAGACCATCTTCATCGCCAGCATCATCTGCAGCGGCATCGGCAGCACCATCATGACCATTGCTATCCTGAGCACCAACATCATCATCATCACCGTCGTCATCACCACCATAATCATCATCATCAACAACAACGTCATTATCACCCACATCGTCATCATCGTTATCATTACCTTTACCATCATCATCAACAGCAACACGGATGACAGACGAGTTGTACACAGGAGTTGGGAACAAGCACTGGGCGAAGGCAGGGGCCGAGCAGAGAACAGGCGGAGCACGAGTCGGGAACACTCGGGGGAAGTTACCTTGTTCGAAGCTAACTGAAGACACTAAATGGCACGGAGTCTCAAAAACTTGCTGTAGGGCTCTGGTGCGGAGTATGGACAGCAGTACGTCAGAACTGCCATCATGCACTTACTTTCCATAGCGCATGCCACTCCATATCGGTTGTACAGAGAAAGCATTGTGCCTACGGCTTGAGGGCTGCTTCGCCATCCACATTGCCGTCATCCAGCTGGGCGCCGGCCTGCACCAACACCTCAACCACTTTCCGGTGACCCTCATGTAAAGCGATTCTAAGGGCACCGGTCTCCAGCTGGGCTCCAGCCTTCACCAACACCTCGACCACTTCCTGGTAGCCGCGATACGCAGCGACAATCAGGGCCGTGTGGCGATACTTATTGCGGGCCTCCAGCTGAGCGCCGGCCTTTAGCAAGGCTTTGACAACTTCCAACTGGCCGTTGTATGCAGCCCTTATGAGGGCCGTGCCGCCACGCTCATCACGGGCCTCCAGCTGGGCCCCAGCCTTCACCAAGACCTCGACCACTTTCAGGTGGCCCGCTTCCGCAGCACACGTGAGGGGTGTTCTGCCAAATTCATCACGGGCCTCCAGCTGGGCTCCACCCTTCACCAAGACCCCGACCACTCCCTGGTAGCCCTCCTTTGCCGCGACAGTTAGGGCCATTTGGCGATGCTCATCGCGGGTCTCCAGCTGGGCCCCAGCCTTCACCAAGACCTCGACCACTCCCTGGAAGCCGCTGTTTGCAGCGAACATGAGGGCCGTGCCGCCGTGCTCATCGCGGGCCTCCAGCTGGGCTCCAGCCTTCACCAAGACCTCGACCACTTTCAGATCGCCCGCTTGCGCAGCACTTATCAGGGCTGTGAAGCCAAACTCATCGCGAGCCTCCAGCTGTGCTCCAGCCTTCACCAAGACCTCGACCACCTTCAAGTGGCCAAGACTTGAAGCAGCTATGAGGGCTGTTCTGCCATCCACATTGCAGGCATCCAGCTGGGCGCCGGCCTCTACCAACGCCTCGACCACTTTCAGCTGGTCATAACTTGCAGCGACAAGGAGGGCCGTGTCGCCATGCTCATCACGGGCCTCCAGCTGAGCCCCGGTCACCAATGCCAGGCCCTCTTCCGCGGCGCTTGTGAGGGCTGTGGCGCCGATCCTTCCGGCATCCAGCAAGGGCTGAATCAGCTCCAGGTGTCCTACGGCTGCAGCGCACGAAAGGGCTGTGTGACCGAGTCGGTCCAGAGCCTTCGGATCGGCATTCCGGCGGAGGAGCTGCTCCACCTGCAGCTGCCTCTCCGGGGTCTCGAGCTCCTGATTTACAAGCTCCGCCTTTGAGAGTCGGTATTGCAGGTCCTCCAGCAAATCTTCACGCCACTTTAGCCCCTCCAACATCTTGAGGGCGTCTCGACGCTTCCACAGCGAATGCTTCAGATGCTCAAGCAACGAAACCTCCGTGAGGAGACTGTTCTCAGCGGGGTCCGCGAGGTGACAGCCTGTGACCTGGCAGAGAACAGGTCCATCCAAAAGGTTTAGGGCCGTCTAGAAGAGTTTAAATAGGGTTTAGGGTTGAGGGTTTTATGTTGAGGGTTTATATAGGGTTTAGGGCTGAAGGTTGTTATAGGGTTTAGGGTTGAGGCTGAGGGTTTGTATGGTATAGGGTTTAAGCTTGAGGATTTGGTTATAGGGTATACTAACAGTGCGCCCTCGGGGTTCTGGCACCCACCTCGTGTAGCTCGTGGTCCCTCAGGTCCTGCTCCGCTTTGGCCTCCATGAGACATGAGAGACACACTGGGGGCCTTTATAAATTCGAGTAGGGTTCCTTTGAGGGCTCCTCTTTAGTCTCACACACGTTCTAAGAACGTCGAAAGATCGAATATGGGGGGCATGAGTGACTGGAATAAGGTTTGGAGATACATTATAGTGTAATTAATCATAGAGAGGAGCCCTGAAGAATGGTGTTGGTAATTTTTAAGGCCACACTATTACAGCGCGAAACAAATGCACAGCGCGTCTCTGAAGAGGGGGCCTTCACCAGCTTCTCCATGTGCTCTGCCAAGGCCTCGTCCAGGCTGCAAGCGCCCGAGCAGTCGATGCAGCGCCACCGGAGCCGCGACCTCATCGCGAAGGCTTCTGGGCTCCAGTTCGTCATGGACTTGGCCCAAGAGGGCAGGCGGGCGAGGAGCCGCTTCTGCAGCGCCGGGCTCGTCTGGTCACACGTGCCCATGAGGTCCACGACGATCACTTTCGGAGACCAGAACCCGAGGCCCCAGGCTGCGAGCCCCACAGTTGGGATTTCATGGGTGGACAGCACGGACTCTGACAAGTTACGCTCGCCCGTGATCTGCTTGTTGACCAATGCGATGACCGTTCCCTGTGCCCTTTCACGCATCCCGAGAACGAAGCTCATGCTGGCAATTGACCACATGTTGGCTGCAAGCGCATTGGTCTGGGGGTCCTTGTAGCAGGCGTCGAGGTTCTCGCTCGCCTCGATAGCTTGGCCCAAGAAGCTGTCCGGGTGGACGGTCGCATGCTCTATGGCCTTGGCAAACTTGGAAAGCTTCGTCATGGTCGTGCGGTTCTCGGAATCCCCATCCCAGAAGCCGGCCCAAAGCAATGCATGATGACGTGTCTCGGTCAAGTTCACCAGCCAGCTCCTAAGAAAGGAGAGCGCTTGATACCGACGGAGGGTCTTGTGGTCCACCTTGAGGGAGGCTACAGCATCTCTAGAAACGCGAAGCGTCTCCACGAGTTCGTTCCCCAATGCGAACATATCTCCGACGCTCTCCACGCAGGTCTTGTTCGGGAGGATGTAGGAGTCCGGAAGGTAGTCGAGAAGCCAGTCGGCTTGCGGCTGCAAGCCTTCGCATGTAAGAGTGAGGTTGTTCACCAACCGCCCGAGCTGCTGATGGCAAACGTTGGCGCTGGTGCTCTGCCAGTCCTCCCTGACGCGGGCAACCCGCTCCCTGAGCGTCCGCTCCTGTGCCTCGGCATCGCCGGGCTCTTCCTTGCGGCCCTCAGCTGTGGCTGCGGACGCCGCCAAGCTGGTCGTCAGCAGCTCCTGAAGCTCCTCGGCCGAGCTCGTTGGGTGCTCATGCCACCAGACCGGATGATGCTCCGACCTGAACCCGACGGCGACGTGAAGAGCGGCTGCAAAGGCCGCGAGCACCAGCGAGGTGAAGCGCACCATCGCGCACAAGGATGCACAGTATATGGAACTTTGGATACGCCAAGCAGTGCATTGCTTGAGAGCAATAGGAGCCGCAAAGCGGGACAGGCAGCTAGAGCGTCCAGCAGAGGAAAGGAACATCACCTAACAACAAACAGCTCCTTACGTAGCTGAGGCCACGGCAATCGAAACTCTCCAGTGAGGATGTCCTTCTCCGTCCAGAATGTTTCTAGGGGAGACACCGGTTGCCTCGCAACGTCCTGTCAAGGAAGCAGAGGACCTCATGCTCACCGGAGCACCTCCTGCACCGTTCGGGTGTGCTGAAGACAGGAGAAGACCACATCCCGGTTGTGTCTCGAAAAAGAGTGAACATTGCTGGGCTGCTACCTCGTAGAGTTTACGGTTTAGGGTTTGTGTGAGGGACCTGATTCGGGCTGAAGCGTTCCTAAACCGAGACGTGGATTTGTTGGAGGCCTTCGGGCTCAACAGCCCCATGGACACGTAGACTTGATTGATGCATATAGGATGCAGGAATTCGGGCAGAACGATCCCTTAACTTAGGAACCACGCATGACAGATCCTAGGCCCAGTCCTGATGCGCAGCCGATAGCTACAGCAGAGCCACCTCTGTCCAAGCACGGTGTCTATGAAAGGGCTACTGTAAGGTTGCTAAAAGGAGCCCGATACAGGTTGCTAACCAGGGTTATTTTATTATTTTATATTTTGGTTCCACTCTGGGCGTTCGGGCTTAGGGTCTTGGGTTTAGGGCCCTAGGCCCAAGCAAATCTAGGCCGGGGCCTCGACTCTTGTCGCCAGATAATCTTTAACTGCTATGCAGACTTCAGCTCTTCATGTCTTCATAATCATGTCGATGAAAGCATCTCGGAATCTCGGGTTTGGGGACTGTCGAGCTTCAAGCTAGGGTCCAACTCATTGAGTTTGGATCGATGGTTTACAGAGCCACTAGAACCGAAAACATGACGGCCCGCACTATCAGCATCATCATCACCAGCAGCAGGACCTCACTGTCGTTGTTCTCATGGCTACCATAGTCGCAACAGCAACCACGTACAAGCAAGTGCTTCTCGGCTATGTTGGGATGCAGGGTGTAGGGCGTAGGGCTTAGGCTAAGGATTCTTCAATAGGTTTGTGAGAGCCGGGGTTTAGGGTTCCCTCAAACCCCCAAAACCGGAGCCCCAAACAACCCTAAACCCTAAACCCCAAACAACCCTAAACCCGAAACCCCAAACAACCCTGAACCCTAAACCCTAAATCCAGAATCAAGCCCTAAAGCGCAAAAGCCCGAAACCTTCAGCCCAGAAGGCCCCCAAAACCTGAGACGCTGCAACAGGGGTTAGGGTTTAGGGTTTAGGGTTTAGGGTTTAGGGTTTAGGGTTTAGGGTTTAGGGTTTAGGGACCCAGGACTTCCAACACTTCTAAAGTTGAGGGCTTAGGGTTTCGGGGTTCAGGGATTCAGGGGTTTAGGGGTTTGGGGGTTTAGGGGTTTGGGAGTTTAGGGGTTTAGGGGTTTAGGGGTGTTGGTCTTAGGGTTTATGGTTTTCGGTTGAGACCCAGAACTCCACACTCCACACCCTCAATCCGAAAACTGCCAACACTGAAGCCCTCAACACTCAAACTTGTAGCCCCAAACCCCGCAGAAGTGTAGGTTCTGAGCCATCATAACTTTGTGGGGTATAAACCCTGGAAACAGTAAGGGCTTTTGTATCCCCAGGTGACACTTTGAGCAAAAAAAAAAACAAGCCAGAAAAACAATCCGTCTACAGAACCCTCACAGAACTCTTGCAAAAGTCCCTTAGAGAACCCTCAAAAAAAAAGAAAAACTCGAAATCACAAGGTCGGCACGTGGATCTGGAACGGATTCCGCTGCGCCGGGTCGGGAATCTCCACCTTGGGAAGCTTCGGGGTGGTGTTCATGATTCATAGAGTTGTAGTGGTTTCAATAGGGGGTTTTCATAGGGCGTTTTAGGGTTTGCGGTTTAGGTTGTTCCACGAGTGGCTGCAGCGGTTTTCTACAGGCTCTTATAGGGTTGAATATACAACCGCATGGAGAACATATGGTGTAATCTTGAGCCAAGTAATTATGGAGGCCCGTGGGATCTGAAGTTCTCTCGACCTCGGACTTCGTCTCCGTCATCGGGGCTCGCATGGCTCAGCGCTTTCACATTGGCAGAGACAGACGGAGAGACGGAGAGAGTTGTTTCTCCAGACATTGTTTTACATGTACCATGCAAACTTGCTCTTCAGTGAACACTCATGTCAACAAGCGGATAAACGTCCGCGACGCTCCCTGTTGCCGCCTCGCCGGGCTCACTGCTCAACTTTCCCGGAGCACAAAAGGCAACGAACTGCCGAGATGGACGACGGGCTCTCCCAATGAGCCGAGCCGCAGTGAATTGTGCAGCTTCACCACAAGCGCCAGTCCTCAGTGCGAGTTTGGGAGACAAATTCTTGTTTTGGGGTGGCAGCTGTCAAGCTCCATTCTCCCCAACATGCACACCGTTTTTCTCCGAACGCAAGTCTTGGTTCCGATGCAACGGCAACTTGCACCATGCACACGCGGAGGTGCACGGGATTATGCTAGAGCTCCAGCCTTCCTCAAGAAGTCGACCACATTCAGGTGGCCTTCTTGCGCAGCTTTCATGAGGGCTGTGTTGCCTTTCTCATCGCGGGCCTCCTGCTGGGCTCCAGTCTTCACCAAGTCTTCGACCACCTTCAAGTGGCCACCCATTGACGCGGCAATGAGGACTGTTTTGCCATCATTAGCACGCGCCTCCAGCTGGGCCCCGGCCTTCACCAAGACCTCCACCACCTCGTGGTAGCCGTTGTATGCAGCGAACATCAGGGCCGTGCCGCCGTTCTCATCGCGGGCCTCCAGCCGGGCTCCAGCCTTCACCAAGGCCTTGACCACCTTCAAGTGGCCAAATGACGCGAGAATGAGGGCTGTGTTGCCAACCTCATCGCGGGCCTCCAGCTGGGCCCCGGCCTTCACCAAGGCCTCGACCACCTCCTGCAGCCCTTTTGCCGCGGCGATTATGAGGGCTGTTTGGCCTTTCGCATTGCGGGCCTCCAGCGGGGCTCCAGCCTTCACCAAGGCCTTGACCACCTTCAAGTGGCCAGTTTTTGACGCGAGAATCAGCGCTGTGTTGCCACGCTCATCGCGGGCCTCCAGCTGGGCCCCGGCCTTGCCCAAGGCCTCGACCGCCTCCTGCAGCCCCAAATCCGCGGCGCTTATGAGGGCCGTGCCGCAGAACCGGTTCAAAGCCTTCGGATCAGCGTTCCGGCGGAGGACTTGCTCCACCTCCAGTTGTCTCTCCCGGCTGTCGCGCTCCTGATCTGCAAGCCCCGCCTTCAAGAGCCGCCACTGCTCATTTTTTTCCCGGATCTTCTCTTGCAAATGCCTCTGCTTGTTGAACTGATGGTTCTGCCCCAGCATTAAATACAACAGACGCAGCCCTAACGAAACCTCTGTGCGGAGACTGGTCTGGGCGGCGTCCGCACCGTAACAGCCGACGACCTGGCAGGAAACGGGTCCACCCTGCAGGTTTTAGGGTGTATGACAGGTTCGGGGGTCTCCGGGCTTAGGGTCTATAGGGTTGCAGGGTGCCGTTGCCGCCTCTGAATGCAAGCTCTTTCTTCGTGCAGCGGATGGCTCAATCGAGCCGTAACTGGCACAGCTGTGAGTTGAAGCAACATGTAAAGGCCAGCTCAAACCAGCTGATCAAGGCCTAGGCCATTCTCGGCAGAAGCCACATAGGGCAAGGGCCATCCTCAGCAGAAGCCAGCGTACTGACATGTCTCTGCGCGTGTAAAAGTGTGAGCTCTTCTCCTTGCATGGTTTCGGCGCATCAACTGCATAAGCCCGTCTTTTACCCTGGAGTTGAAGTTCAAAAGGTTCTGAGCGCCCCATCCACGGAACAGACCCCTGCTACTTCGTCTGCAAGGACCTATGGAACGACGACAGTGGATTCAAGGCCCAACGGAGTTGCTCCTGCAGTGGGTCCTGGTGCTCCTATGTGTGGTTCTGAAATAGAGGGACGTATGGGAAATCCCAACCTTCATGACCCAGGGCCTCAGTGGAAGCCCAGTCTGCATCAGAAGCTACGACTTCGACGGAACTTGGACCGGACGTGGCCGAGCCCGCTTACGGGGAACCGGACCGGAGCGCAAACGTTATAAGTCCAGATGCTCAAGCCATGCAGCCGACTTTTACGAGGCCAAGCGTGCTACCTACACCCCAGACCCCCCGGAGGAGTGGAACTACGGTGAGGGTACAAGAGTTTTATTCTGCAGAGTCTGAGAACTGCGGCTTCGTTGGCGAGGAGCCAGTGGATGGGACCGTGTTCTGGATAATCTGGGTCTGGCGCATGGGCAGTCTTCTCTACAGCAGCAACATGCTAGCATGGTCTTTGAGAGACAAGGTGCTACGGCAGTGAATTTCTCTCCGCCGGAAGAGCATCCTGCAGGACCTCCAAGAGTGTATACGGCCCGCCTGCGTCATGGACGGCTACTTCACCGCAGCAACCCCAGCCGCTCTTTGATGTTGCTCAGGTGGCACCTCAGCGTGATCATCCCCCGTTTTATGGACAGAGTTCAGAGGTTGGTTCGGGTCACTCGTCAAGACTGCAAGCTGAAGTGCAACGGCAGTTGGATGAATACACCGCAGAGTACCAGGAAGAACTACGGACCCTACAAGACGAGGTGCTACGGCTTCGAGCGGAAAAGAAAAAAGAGATTGGGAACTTCGGTGACAACGTGGGGAACTACCTCCTGACCCGGTACCTAATTCTCCAGTACAGCTTCAAGGAAATCCTCGAGGACCCCAAGGGAGTCTTCACCTACACGCGGATGGCCCTACCGAACGACTTCGTGCTCCAGTTGTGATTCAAGGAAATCCTCGAGGACCCCAAGAAAGTCTTCACCTGCGTGCGGATGGTCATAATGAGCGAACCAGTGATCCAGGCCAGCTTCCAGGAAATCCTCGGGGAGCGCAAGGGAGTCTTCACGTACGTGCGGATGGTCACAATGAGCGAGCTAGTGAGCTAGTGATCCAGGCCAGCTTCAAGGAAATCCAGGAGGACCTCAAGGGAGTCTTCACCTACGTGCGGATGGTTACAATGAACGAGCCTCAAGGAAATCCAGGAGGACGTCTTCACCTACGCGCGGATGGTCGTAACCAAGGTCTACCAGGACCGATTCCACAGGAACAGGTGGTGACAGGCTATGTGCAGAAGTCAGGGATGACGTCTGGTCCGATGAGTAAGGTCGCCGATGATCCTGTCAAGCACACAAGTGAGCCGTGTGCCTCAGTCCCCAGCGGTGCTGCTGTACCTGATCCTACGTCAAAGGCTGCCTCCGTGAACCCTACACAATGGCTAGGAGGAACCCCGTCACCTGACCCAATGGCTTTGTTGGCTGGTGGCATGGCGCAGTTGCAGGCGGTGATGCTGAAACAGATGACTGAGAAGGACAAACCAAAAGACGAAGATCGGAGCCCTGAAGCAGTCAAACCTGGCACAACTGTTCTTCCTCCCCTTCCTGAGGTTAATCCTCAGACGTCTTCGGTAGACGTCATGGACTGGCTTGAAGTCATCACCACGACAATGCAAGATTTGTCGGATGGAAGCGCGGAGTGGTGGAACCGGGTGAGGGCCTTGGCGGACACCTCGTATGAGAAATGGACCCATGCGACTCCAGTTGAGAAGCTGAATATACTACCGCCAAGGGACGAAGAGCTGGAAACTTGCCGATGGGCACGAGTCAACAGCCGAGGAGCCTCGATGATGATGTTGGCCTTGCATGAGTCGGGGTTCGGCAAGAGATGGTTCAAAGGCGGTCTACAGGTTCGGTGACGGCCGTGGTGTTTCGCCTTTTGACGCTTCGGCCAGCAGGAGAAGGTCACGCATCAAGTTCACTCCGGGAGAGTTTCAGCGAGCGGACCTAGGCACAAAGCCTTTCACTCGTGAACGACTTCGGCAACTGGTGCGGATGTGGCACCTACGAGACCGACGACCTGAAGTTGAAGTTCGTTCTGTGAGGGCGAATGGTGAGAACTCATGGCTGAGGAAGCTTCTTCTCCTTTGTCAACTATGTGGCACCGCAGCGCAGAAACAGGACATCCAGGCCGAAATTCCCTGGGACCTCTACCTGGCGGTGATCGTCCTGGGAATAGCCATCATTGGCTTATGGGAGGGTGCCAAGCACTGCTGCGGAAACCGAGAAGCCAAGGTCACGGCCCTAAAGACAGCAGCCCTGCAGTCCAAGCCGAGCAAAATCACGAGGATGGAACTCAAGGAACTGCAGATGCTACGGCAGATTGACCCCAAGGACCTCACGTCGGACCAGAAGCTGTGCGACTTAAGAGAAAGGCTCGATGCAACAATGCCGAATTCCTCGCCACTACCCCGGGAAGCTCTAGATGACGACCCTCCCGCTGCCAACGAGATGAAGCTTCAGCCTCCTCTACTTCAACGGCGGGACGAAACAAACAACCCAAGCCGAAGACCTTCCGTGATCAGGAAACGCAGGCCGATGTAGAGCCAGCGTATGTGAGGGCACATTCCGCCCCTCCGCCCACAAGAGAAGTTATTTGTGGGCCTTTCTACCAAGTCCCTGGCCGTAATCACCTACATGTTTTCCGCGAATGCTGGGGACTAAGAAATGCTGGTCGCGTCAACACAGTGACACTTTGTCGATGCTGTGTAGAGAATGGCGGCCAACGCATCCATTAGATGTTGCGGCCCTGGCGGTAGCATCAAGCAGGAGTGCAGATTTCCGTGGCCGCCTCTGAATGCAAGCTCTTTCTTTGTGAAGCGGATGGCTCAATCGAGCCGTAACTGGCACAGCTGTGAGTTGAAGCAACATGTAAAGGCCAGCTCAAACCAGCTGATCAAGGCCTAGGCCATTCTCGGCAGAAGCCACATAGGGCAAGGGCCATTCTCAGCAGAAGCCAGCGTACTGACATGTCTCTGCGCGTGTAAAAGTGTGAGCTCTTCTCCTTGCATGGTTTCGGCGCATAAACTGCATAAGCCCGTCTTTTACCCCTGGAGTTGAAGTTCAAGAAAGGTTTAGGGTTTGGGGTTTCAGGCTTTTGGGGCTTACAATAAACTTTAGTGAGGGTCTACTAACAGTGCGCACTGGGATTCTGGCGCCCACCTCGCATAGCTCTTGGTTCTTCCGGTCCTGCTCCACATTGGCCTCCCCGAGAGACACTGGGGCCTTTGTAATAGGAGTAGGGTTCCTTTAAGGGGCTCTTTTAATGGGTTCCATAGTGGTAACTATAAGGGCTTAGTATGGGGACACGCATTAAACGGAACATGAAAAAAACTCATATGAGGGCCTGAACGATTGGACCAGGGTTTGGGGATGTGAGCGCACTGAACGTCGGGGCGGGCAAAGAGAAGCAGAGTGGGTTTGGGGACACATGATAGATGATACAATAGTAATTTGAAATACGGTGGCCTAAACAATCATCAA